GTATTGTGCATTTTCAGTGAAACGTTTGTCTTTCTGTACCTCTAATAAAGTATGCTTCATAGAGAGCTATAATATAGATCGCACTTTTTCTTTCTGTTTTGCTCTGGGTTTTTTTTTTACACCGAACTTCAAACTCATTTATGCCGCTTTTTGATCATTCTTGAAGTGAACCTTTGCCCGTTTGGTGATCTAAATAAACTGTTTTAGGCCGCTGCTTGATCTGAACGAGGTGTGTTTGATCCCTGATAGCTGCGAGTTCTCCTAGACTCGACCTCTAGTAAAAATCACTGCAGTAGTCTTTAGTGTATTCTTTACAAATAAAGTAGTTCAATTAGTGATTTCTTCTTTACTTTTATTGTTTGATTAACAATGTTGAGACAGACGGCCTATATATTAATGCACAGATCTAATATAATGTTGCACATCAGATGTTTTTCCCCAACATTTAACCAAACGATCATTTAAGACAGATTATGTTTGCATGAATACTCGCCAAGATTTTGAAACACTGTAATGTGTGTGTGTGTGTATCGGGATCACGCACAGTTTGAGGCGTTTGGACGTGTCAGTCAGCGTGAGTAAGATCCTTTTCGTGGCTTATCACACTTAACTCTTTTAACATAATTTTGGATGTTTAATTACTATGTGGAGCATTGGGATCGCTAGACGAGGGCTTAATGAACAAATTTTTTGTGTAAAACCTCAAATTCAACAAAATGGGTCAAAACGGGTCACATAAATATCACAATATAGTTATTTTTGCTTTGCAAAATGGATGGTTTAAAATCAGTTGAAAATCACTTTATTTTAAACCACAAGGCTTAAAAACGAATGCAAATTATAAACTTTTGTGATTGCACAGCACTACAACATCACAGGAGCGTAAATGCAATAGAGACGATAATCCAAAATCTCTACTAGTTACAAATACTATTCTTCAGTATTATTTCCATAACAATAATCTTTAGTGTTATTTCCATAAGAATGTGTTTTATCAGCTCTGTGGCAGAGACCGCAAAAATTCAGCAAGTGTTACACCAAAGCAAAACCAATGGAAATTTATCTCATCATTTCAAACCTGTAAGCAAGGAAGATGGTTTAATGTGGTTAAATAATAACTGGTTAAGTTAATTATATGATTAATTGGATTGTTTTAAATTATTACAAATGAATAGCAAAAACAAAGAAAAAACAATAAGGTGACTACATTTCTGAAACTGAAACGGGAGACATTTCCTAGTTCAGTGATCAAAATATAATTGAAATCTCACCTGTTATCTATGAATAAAAATGGGGACGATATTTTTTGTATGTTTTTGCATTAATTTGCTGTGGGTTTCATTTTATTATTATTATTATTATTATTATTATTATTATTATTGGCGGTTTTAATACAATTCACCAAAAATCACACTATGGGAAAAAAAGTAAATAGTGACCATTGCAAAACGAAAACAGATCAAAACAGTATTATACGAAGCCATATTACAAAAATAGATATGAGAACATATAAAACTGTAACAGTTTCTAATTGTAATTACTATTTTAATTTTACTGTATAATTATTATAATAATAATAACCACTTACTTTTGTGCTTTTGGAAATGTATCTTTACTCTCCCTAATTAGGCTAATTATTTAAACCTTTAGGCTCATTTTGAGCACAAAGTCTGCTTTCTGCAAATATAATTGTTGCATGTGTAATTGAGTTCATTAAAAATATATATTTTTTATTATTAATATCAGGGTGTAGTTTCACCCATGTGATATAGTTAAGATGTGTGTGGGGGAATTAATGCATTGTGATGGCAGAACTTATGTAAATGTTTAAAATTGTGTGCAACACCCTGTTCATTGCTATATTGTACAACAGTATACTTTATGCCTCGGAGAACCAAGTGCGCAGCAATCTTTAAAATTCTGTCTTCGAACTTCAGTTTTTGCATTAGCTCTATAGCATCACTGTTGAAGAGTAATTCGCTGGTGGATATACATATTGTATAGATATGCATGTATAGATATCATGTGCATTTTAATGTTTGAAGCAGATGTCATAACAAATATCAGTAGACTGGGAACATTTTAAAACGAGTGGTTCAATGAAAAATTTGTACGACCTTACCTTCACGCAGTGGAAATACAAACTGAATGACAACAAGCACAGTGCTGAAAAGGGGCTCCCAAATTATTTATTATTTTTTTATTAATTTTTTTAATCAAACACAAAAGTCAGCGATAAGACAACTCACTTCCTCATTAAGTTGTCACTCATATACTACTTATAATAACAGTTCTCAACTGATTACATGTACTTTTTGCCAACACCTTGCACCTTTATTACTACTTGTTTCTGATTCTTTAGTAGGAGAGCATATGTCAAATTTAGGGGGTAGCACCAACCCATGGAAGAATCCCTGCACGTCTAAACTCAGTGATGGTGGGCTGAGAGATGCAATGCGCTGGGAAGATGACAACATACCAAGGTGTGTGTATGTGTTTTTGCTATACATCAGTACATACATACCAACATTGTATGGCATTTTGACCTTTATTTCATGTGTGGTATGTGTTTTTGCAGTTCAATGATTTTAGAGGACGTGGAACGGATGAGTGTGTGTGAGCTGGAGGTTGATGCTGTGGCTGCTGATGTTCTCAACCGTCTAGAGATTGAGAGTAAGGAATGGTTGATTTGTTTGTGTGTGTACAGGTTTTTCTACACTGGTGGGGGCTTAAACCTGAATACACACCAACTCATGGGGACTTGTGTCACCGTGGGGACCTAAATTGAGGTCCCCATGGGTACAAAAGCTTATAAATCATGCAGAACGAGTTTTTTTGAAAATCTAAAAATGCAGAAAGTTTTCTGTGAGGGATAGGTTTAGGTGTAGGGTGATAGAAAATACAGTTTGTACAGTATAAAAACCATTATTCCTATGGTCCCTACAAGGATAGTGCACCAGACTGTGTGTGTGTGCTTGTGCAAATCCCTGTCTACACTGGGTAATAACAACCTTGACTGCATAAATCAATGGATTTAAAATATGTATTGTATTAACTACAGTTCATAAACTATGAATGAACTATAAACGAATAGTTTGTTAATGGTTTGTAAGCACTTTATTAATTTATGCTTAATTTATGGGTTACCGCAAGGCAAGCACTTGCATGTATATGACCTATTTTTCAGCAGTATTCAGTATGGGATTTGACTGTTTGATTCATAGATTGTATAGGCTATCTCAAATAGATTGCTTATACAGAATGTTTTATCTTTTTTTTTATTTTTTTTTGTCTTCTGGGTGTTTGTTAGACTAGTCGACTACTCGGTTACAAAATTTTAGTTTAAACGTTAATGAAATTAGTTGTAAATACTTTCCTAGTAATTAGCACTTTAACCCAGTATTTGTTGTGCTGTCATGTATTTCTGCTTGTTAGAAAAGATAAAATCAGACTTTGTTGGAATCAGCTATGCACGTTAAGTCTCTCTGGCGTTGTGCTATTTGTGTAGTACATTTAATGAGTATGCTTTTTTTTGCATGTTGTATCCAGATCAGATTGGCAGAAACCCTGGTCTCCAGGCCATCTGGGATGATGAGAAACAGCGACGGCAGGAGAGATGTCAAAGCTCTCGTATTGACATGCATGAATCACAAGGTGAGAAAAGCTCTGGTATGGAAACTTTTTTTGCAGCACCACTATTAATGTTATTCACCATGTTGTGCAATGGCTACTGTTTCAGATCGAGGCTTTGTAGAGTTTGCAGAGAGTGAAAAAAACTTCATGAAGAGATTCAAGGAAATTCTCAAGGAAAATGAATTTGATGTGTGAGTAAAGCTTCCCATACGTCACTAATAAATTTATTTTTTTTTTTCTCCAGGTTGGAAGCAAAATAAATGAATAAGTGAATTTCTTTCAAACAAATTGTACAATAGAAATTTAGACAATTTTCAATGTAATGTTTTAATCACTACCCAGGATCCTGACAGCTGTGTAGAAACCACCTCTGTGCCTTTGTTGTCATTAACCAGAAGACTAATTAACACAGAGAAGTCATCTAACACCGCTTGTCTCGAGACCAGCTCCAGCAAGCTGTGCTGGTGCTTTCATAATGGTTTTATCTAGGGTTGGGTATCGATTGGGTTTTTTATGATACCGGTGCCAAATCGATACTTTTAAAACGGTACCGGTGCCTAAACAGTGCCTCAACCGATACTTAAAAAAAAAAAAAAAGAGCCACAAAAAAACGATGCATAGCATTAAAGAACATTAAAAATATTTAAAATAGATATACATAGCATTCACATGCTCCTCGGATGCTCTCATTTCCAGAGTTGTGCTTCCCTTAAGGCGGGCGTACAATGTGCGATTCTGAAGGTCGGAACATCGTGAGCTCTGGCACATGTCACGATTTGAGTTTATCCGAAAATCATACGGAGGCAGTCACACACGACACAAATTTACTATGATTTTACAAACTCTGATGTAAGCATTACGTTTCGCGACATTCATAAAAATATGGATTCTGAGGACGAAATACTTTTCTTTGTAGCAGGCGGCTTGTGACGTAAAAAAAAAAACGAAGACAAAGGACATGGCAAAGAGAATGGCTGAAAAGCATGGACTTTCTGTTCTTCATAAAGAACTCGAGGGAGTAGGCCATTTCTGAATTTCTGCTCGTTTTGCCGGAAATACAACAGGCATATTCATTCATAAAGCTGAACGGCAAATTTGGCACATTCAGAATAACAAATAAAAAATAGAACTGTATAATTAAACAAAAATTATTATAGACTATATGGTTTTTGTCATCTTCTGATTGGTCAACTTCAAATGGATCGCCAAATCGTCTCGTACAACCGCACATATGCCACGAATTTAAACCGACAGCATCCGATTTTTTTTGACGTGTTTGAAAATTATCGGGAGGACGGGAGGTGCTCGTAACGTTCTCGGATCGGTCCGTAATTCTTCTCACACAGTACATGCGACCATGCGAGCATCTGCGATTTTCTCCCGAGAGAAAAGAATCGCCTGCGAGCTCGTACGACAGCAAAAATCGCACCGTGTACGGCCTTTACTCTAAGGCTAATAAATGTATTTCACAATCTGGGTCATCATTTAATACAAAACAATATTTAATACAAAACCGCACATAATGTGTCTACTGTATCTCTGTCAATCACTCTGACATTTAGTTAAAATTTGAGAATTGACTGAGTGCTGTCTGTCACTGTCTTAAATCAGTTCGTGACCTTTTGTAAACTGTATTTATGACAATGAACTGCACAGATACAGATATGATAACAATCTATCGATAAACACACACCTTGTGGCCTCTGTTTCTGTTTGAGTCCGCTCGCGCTACGCCACCGCAGATTGAAGAGCGTGCTGAAAGACGGGGAGGAGATGAAGTCTGCCGCCGTTTTCATATGAAATTTAAAAGGGATTGACTCTGAGGCGATCACAAATTTGTGTACAGTTTATGGAGCTAATCGCTATAGCCCCGCTAAAAATGGCCTAGCGACGCCCATGCTTCTTACGTTCATTTCAGAGAACCAGGACAAATATTTAAATAGATCGCTCAGGCATTAAAGTGGCACCGAAATGAGGCACCGAAATCTGCGTTCTGATTCGGTTCTAGTACATACCAGTTACATAGGTATTCAATAGGGTTTCAGTACCCAACCCTAGTTTTATCCACATTATTTTTAATGAAAAAAGCAGGTACAGCCATTTGTAACTTGAATGTACAAGGTTTCTGGTGCCATCTGGCTCTGTATGTTATGCTACTTGATAGTGCAAACTGGTATTTATCATTATTTTAATGTATTATAATCATAAACACACTGGGCCTCATTTATCAATCTAACGTTGAAACGACCGTACGCTCAATTTTCTGTCGTACGTTCATTTCGTAAATGAGGCCCACTAAGTGCATATACTTTTATCAATCACTATGCTTTATTCTTCTAGTTATTTACTTACAGCGACTAATGAATCAGAAATATTGCACATTCAACGAAAATAGCTTAATTTTTCTTGCAAAATAAGCTGGATAGAATCGGTAAAGGTACCTTTTTAAGGCAAGTCAATTCACTGAATTGAAGTTTCCCAAACTGTTTGTAAAGTTTAAGTTTCAATGATACTGTATATTTTGAGTAAGCAATACAATAACAACAATAGTATAACATTAAGTACTGTATATTTCCTAAGTTGTGGTTCGATCAAAAAGCTGACTCTGAAAGACATGGGTTCCATTTCTACAGATTATATAATAAGCATTAATTGTGTATTCTAATGTGCTCTACAGTTCTTCACACTCAAGTTGAATGAATCAGCTCAGCTTTTATCTTGGGTAGGGTGACCAGACGTCCAGTTTTTCCCGGGACATTCCCGTATTTTAGCTCTATTTTTAGTGTCCCGACTTACTAAGAAAAAAAATCATGTTTTGTCCCATATTTCAACATTTCTTTGCGACTAGGAGATCAGATCGAGTAGTAGTAGTAGAGCTGTAGTCAAGTCCAGCTTTGTCGAGTCCAAGACAAGTCCCAAGACCAGGACTAGTCGAGACCGAGTCAAGACCAAGTCCAAAGAGGTTCGAGTCCAAGTCAAGTCCAAGTCCAAAAGTTTCGAGTCCAAGTCAAGACCGAGTCCAAATGAGAGGAAAAAATACTTAACTATTGATAATGTATGTGATGTGAGAGACAGCATATCTCCTATTCTAAGAAAATCATTTTACATTATTATTTGTAATGATAAAAAAGCATGTGCAAAGTAACAACTCTGTAGGACAGGGGTCTCCTAACTAGATCCTGGAGGGCCAATGCCCTGCAGAGTTAAGCTCCAACTGGCCTTAACACGCCTATCCTATTATAGCAGACATATCCACTGAATTGCATTGATTTTGCCTTTCTAATAGTCCTGCACGATATGAGGAAATTCTGCTATGTGTGATAACAGTGGAGTTTTTTTTTTTTTGCAATGATGATTACTTATGATAAATAAATGAATAATTAACTGTGCATATTAGGGCCAACAAATAAAACAAAATTGAAAGCTAAGCCAAGACGGAGAAACAGCTGATCATAGCTGTACAAGGATAGCCATTTTTTAAAATAAATTTAGTAGCAGAGCTACCTCGAGGGATTTTTAGTGCTGCAAATCCATTTATCCTGCGCACGCATAGAGCGCAGGCTACAGAGTGCTTTGGAAAGAAGGAGAAAGCGGCGCGCCTAGCGTTTTCCACGCGTTTTCAGGCGCGACATGCAAATGTGGTTTTGTTTTGAAGGAGAAAAAAAGCATATTGCTGTACTCGGTCGAGACCAACGAGAACATTTGGCGAGTCCAATGACCAAGTCCGAGACGATAGAAAAATGTCCGAGACCTGACTCTAGTACTACAGCCCTAAGTAGTAGTGTTCTGTCACACGACAACAGCCTAATCAAAGGTAGACAAGCTCGTCGTAGAACAAAATTACCATCCAATTACCATAAGTTATCAATGAACTTGCAGTTATTGCACCAGAATTTTCAAAATTTCAATGAACGTAAACAAAGTATATTAAATCCATGCGTTCGGTATTAAAGGGACAGCAGCCTAATTAAATACCTGTCTGTGTCATTAATGTTAATCAAACAACAAAAGATGTTAAATAAATGTATACATTTTAAATAAACCTACTGTATTTGAAAAACAAGTTTATTCAATTTGTATCTCTATCGTATTTGTCTTATGGTTTCTAATTTGCTTCTTTGTTATTGTTTATATAACAAAATAACTATATATATGCCCACCCTTCCCATATTCCACCATGAGAAATCTGGTCACCCTAATCTTGGGTCATCATTGATGGTAACAAAAATAAATGACCAATTTTGAGTTCCATCCAACATGATGTCAGAGTCTGAGGGAAAAGAGAGAATACAAAGAAGGAGCATTGGTTACTCAAGTCATGGCTGCTCATATCAAAAAAGCAAGTTTTCAAGGAATTTCAGTGTTTGGTAAAGAGATTAAATTTAGCCAAGTAGTGGATGATACCACAATTTTTGTCAAAAATAGTGACGAAATTGATAAAGTTATTAAATGTAATAAAGAATTTTCTGGAATCTCTGGATTGAAGATGAATAAGAATAAGTCCACTTTATTCTCTTGAAGATTGTCTCCTGAAATAAATTTGTGGGATACCAATTGAAGACAATGTCACATACCTTGGGATAAAGGTGTGTAAAGATTTGAATCAAAGAAGTCTGTTAAATTTTGACCCTATTATTGAGAAAATTAAAAACAGATTCAATATGTGGCTTATGAGAGGTCTGTCCCTATATGGACATGTTCTACTCTCAAAAGCAGAAGGGATTTCAAGGTCTGTTTATATATCTATGGCAGCAGATGTTCCAAACAATGTTGTCAGGGAATTAGATAAGATACTTTATGATTTTATTTGGAGGAAGAAAACCATTTACGGAAAGATATTATAAATAATAATAGAGACTTTGGTGGCCTTGAAGTTTTACATTTTACAGATCTTAATAATGTGTTTAAGATAAAATGGATAATTGAATTTATTAAAAATAAAGATAGTGTATGGAATGTTTTCCCCAATTACATATTTAACTCTTTGGGTGGCATTAATTTTCTTTTAAAATGCAATTTTTTGGTTGACAAAATCCCAGTTAAACTGGCAAACTTTCATAAGCATGCACTGCTGGCTTGGCAATTAATCTATAAACATAACTTTTCACCGCATCAGTATTTTATATAGAATAATAAAGATATCTTGTACAAACAAAAGTCAATCTTTAATCAGACATGGTACGACAATGGAATTCTTACTGTTAGTCAGTTGCTTAATGAACAAGGTCTGCTTTTAACATATTCTGAATTTCTCAATAAATTTAGGATCCCTGTGAGGCCAAAAGAATACTCTATTATCTTTGATGCAATTCCTGGCAGAGTTGTATCACTATTACGAAATCCTGGATTCTTTCCTGTAAACGTTGATCATCAAACCAGTTTTTGTAGTGATACAATATTTATTGGGGATATTAATATAGTAATAGATAAATGTAGTAACAAATATATTAGAAATATTTTAAAAACAAACTATTTGCCTTAGACAACAATGTTTGGTCTACTAAATATGAAAATGTTAACTGGAAAAAAGTATGGTCAATAACTAAGTTTTTTATTAATAATAAAATTAGAGAGGTATCCTATAAAATTTTACACAAAATTTACCCTGTCAAGGAGTTGCTTGAACGTTTCAATTTGAATATTGAAAACTTATGTGCATTTTGTAGCAATGCCAAAGAATCTGTGACTCATCTTTTTTTTTTTTATTGTATATATTCAAAAATGTTTTGGTTGGATGTTTCTAATTTCATTTCTAGGTTGTTTCATTTCAACAGGACAATGTTGATTCCAAAAGTACGATGTGCTTTCTTATTCAACTTTTTATTTTACTTGGAAAATATCACATTCATGTGAAAAAATTGACAAAAGCTATGCCAAACTTTGAACATTTTATAAAAGAGATTAAACAATATGGTAGACAAAAATAAGAACAAAAAAGCAAGAAAGACCTATGAAGCTTTTTGTTAATTTAAATTGTTGTAACTTTACCCCTGGCATGAATTGTTTTACTTGACATATTCTTATGTTTATTTGTTTTTGTACTTGTTGCGAGTTGTATATGCTTGTACAAATTTTTGTATAATTTTTGCATAATAAAAAAACAAACAAAAAAAAAACAAACAAAGAAGGAGCAAAATACAAATATATATTTTCACACATCAAGTGTATCACAATTTTTTTTTTTAAATATACATCTTAGGATGTAACACAACTCAAATCCACACATGCATAAACCCACACACACCATGATGTCTGTTGAAGGTATAAGGATGCTAATAGAAGTAGGTGGAATGAATGTTTGCTGCACTGAATTGCTTGAGAGTGGGCAGGCAGAGGGCTTGATGTTTATCTTGTTTTGTAGGACTGGGTCTGAAGTTGACTCTTTCCCTGAGCTCTCACTCTATCCTACTGTGCTGAGCCCAGATGACTTGCCTTGCATACCTGCCAGCCAAGTGGATGTGCATCAAGATGCATTTAAAGGTGAGGTGCACAGTCACCTAAAGAAACTAAGCAGTTCAGGTGTTTGAGGGAGTTCAGAAACAGTGCTTACTGGTTTAGAAAATAACTCCCTTTGGAGTGTACATTGTGCTTTGTAACGTTGCATATCTTTTTAATGCACAAACGGCAACATTAGGCACTAAAGGGGAAAAAAAGCATGATAGGACCCCTTTCAAATTGAACCCCCTTTCCCAGTTCCAGAACCTTAGTCATCCCACATTTTCAGTGTCACTAAATGGGTGACAAGCAGCTAAATTCCATACATCACACCAAGGGAAAGAAAACTGCAAAAACAAAGAGGCTATATGCAGTCTGCCTGTTTAACTTGGTAATGTCAGTAATGTCTTATTAAAAATCTTTCCTTTTTTTTCTTTTCACCATATAGACACAAAAAAGCATGGTGGGAAAGATGCTGAAGTGGCAGTTGTTGATGAAGAGGCCATTTTGAGTTTGTTGGAAAACAGTCAGACCTTCCTCCCTCTTTCTCAGAGACCCAACCAATCAGTATTACTTGGTACTGAGACTATCACAACTAATATATCTGTTTCCACAAGCAAAAACGCTTACTTTTTCCCTAGATTGTTTTCACACTGCATTTTTTTCCTTAATCAGTAAAAATATCAATTATTTTTCTTGAGATCCAAACTTATAGTAAAATTAGCATTTCTTGAGAACATATATTTTTAATCTAAATTAAATTTTGTTTTTAAGTTTGTATTTCTTATCACATTGACTAGATTTATGGTTAAAGAAAAAAAAATAGGAGTAGGAAAAAGTTAATTTCAAAATGTAATCTTAAAAGTCTTAATATCTGTAAATGTCTGTTATATGCTTTTCAAGTAAACCCATGTTTTGGATATTTATAATGGAAAACACAAGTACTGATGAATAAAAAAATGCAATACTTTGTGTGCATATTCACAATTTTGTTTTGGATATATGTTAATATGCATAATTCCTCTTTTCTTGTACATGTTCTAATTATATTTTCAAGTTTACATTTACATTTTCCACAATGTTTTAACAGAGAGCAGTCAAGACCAGGCTATGGTTGATGTATTTGAAGCATTGGCTGATGATGGATTTAGAGCTGGCAGGTCCAAAGCAGTGTCCCAGCAGCTGTCTGGGATTGCTAGCTGCATCTATAACAGTGATGATGAGGAAGCTGGGCCTGAGCTGGAGAAAGAAGAGTCAGAGCTCAGTAGAATCATGTCACAAAGATGGGACTGTGACATGCCAGGACACTCTGCTAGGCAAAGGTCTCCAGACTTCCCGTTACGATTTTTGGAATTGTCTGTTATATGCTTTTAATTCTTGTTTACATTATTATATAGTTATTTTAACAGTATTATACTGTTATTATACAATATTAAACCTTTCTTAACAGGCATTCAGAATTAGACCTCTTAGGAAAACACTGGCTGGTCCACAGCAGATGGTGCCTGTGTGATGTTATGCCTGTCAATTATTTAATTTGATGGCATGTTATTTAATCATAATCTATGTTGCCTTCCTGCACAGATTATGTATGAAAGAAGTAAATGAAAGCTCCAGCGAAGAGCAGCAGGCCTCATCAGATGAAGAGGTGTATTGGAAGGGAAACAGTGCTCCCTTTACTAATCTTTCCATTCCGCAGTTGGATGGAGCTGCAGATGAGAATAGTGGTAAGCAGAATTTTAATTAAGAATTTAATGAACTACAATGAAAAGTATAAATGCTTTCAGTACAGTGGCGTATTCCTACTTGTTGTCATGTTTTCTGTAGATTCATCACTAACAGACAAAGAATCCTGGACACGCTCATCTCTAAAAGCAACAGACAAGATCCTTGGTAGCAGAAATGTTTTTCCAAATGAAGCTGTTCGTATGGAGCCACCACCTTCTGCTAAAATTGTTATTGAATACAAATGTGCTGAGCAGAAACTCAATCAAGAGGATTTAGCAGATAAGCATTTAAAAAGTGAAGAGGCAAACGAATGTTCAACTGGATTAAGAGTTAACAAAGAGGTGCCATATATTCCACCAGTTAAACACCCAATCCCTTTTAACACAGCAAATATACCTAAACTTAGTGCTGAAAAAATAAGTGTGCACTCTTTGTACACTGATGAAAACCAAGCCACTGGCCTTAATCAGCCAGATCCTGATGATTCAATTTTTGGAAACTCTAAGCTTGCCCAGAAGATAAAAAAATGTACCAGTATTAAAAATGTGGAAAAGAACCATTTATCCATCCCAGAGAATCACAAGAGCTTCTTTGTATGTTACTCTGAGATGATGAACTGCCCCACCAAGACTGAAATGGAACTCGTTCCAAATGACTGCAGAAGACCTATGAAAGAGAGCCAAGCTTTGGGCCCTCAAGAAGTTGAGACAGGACAGGGTAAAAAAGAGGAAGATGTCAGCAAACTGAAAATAAGATATGAGGATTACCAAGAGAATAAAACTGAGAGGACCATTGTGGCACAACAGGAGGCACACTACAAATTTTTCCCCAGCGTTATTCTTTCTAATTGCCTGTCCAGACCCATCAAAAAACAGGCTGGAGGCAAGACTGGGGATGGTTGCTCTGACTTAGACCATCCTGAACAGCAAAGGTCAAGGTTAAAGTTGATCAAAAAGAAAACAACGTTAGGTCAAAAAAGGCTAAGTCCTGTGAGGACCCCGTCTCCTACAAAAGAGGAAGCCACAGCACTTCTTTCCAAAACTTTAGGCTCCCTTAAACAGAAAGAAATGTTTAAGGTGGTTAACATGGAAACTTCAGAACCACCAACTGTTGAAGGTTTGACTGAGAACTCAGTAGAGGATAAACTTGCAGATATTCCCACCAAACTCTCTTGCACCAAGCTGTCCAGTTTGCCAGGTAGCAAATATACATTGCGGGCAAAAAGGAAAATGAGTTACGACAGTGAAAATGGAGATCAGGCAAGTTCTGGTTCTTTCAAACAAGATTTGGTGCAACATGAAGGCCTTAAAAGCAAAGATCATGTCTTTAGCCAAAAAAAGAGGAAACTGACTAAAAAAGAGCCACCAATCATCATTAAATATATAATCATTAACAGATTCAAAGGTCAGAAGAACATGTTAGTGAAGATTTCTAAAATTAACGCTGATGAAACTCGCACAGTTTTAACACCAGAAAAGCTGGCTGAATACAAAAAGCTTGCTCCTCTCAAAGAATTCTGGCCCAAAGTGCCAGAGTCTACAGCAGTGAAGTACCCGCTACTTGAGCTAAAAGTAAAGAAATGTCACAAACGAAAGGCTAAGGTCAACCCAGTGTCAAAGAGGGCCAGCACCTCTCCAAAATCTAAGTGTCCACGAGCTGGTCAGACTAGGAGGACAAAGCATGCAAAAGCATTTATAACTTTACCGAAATTACCCCCTCCATGGCCTTGTTATAATGAGTTCACAGATGACTGCTGTACAGAGTATTCTGATGTGATGGTGGAGTTGGGTTATTTGTCAGAAAGAGCCTCCAGTCCTACTGATTTAACCCCTCCTAGATGTTGGTCTCCTACTGAGCCCTTACTGGGATCTAATTCAAATCTCATAAACCCCCTTAATGATCCATGTCTAGGTTCATCCTATCAAGTACTGGCTCCAAAACCATGCCAAAGAGGTCTTTGGGATAGAAGAGGAAAACCCAGGCTTAAAAATACTTCTGCTACCAGCCCAAAAAGACAAGCTAACACTACAACAGTCAGGTCAGTGAACAAAGATTCAGTGAAAACTAAGGATTCACAGAGAAAAAGTATTCGAGCGGCTTCAAGGAGGCATAAGAAACATTGTGAAAGTATTGAAAGAATTGTTCTTGAAGATGGCACATCTACCTCTCAGAAAGACGGGATGCTGAATGAGAAGCAAATCCTAAGAAAAAAACATGTCCATGGTGAGGAGCGTGATAATTCACAGGCTCCACATTCAGTTAACACTGCACCTATTACTTCCTCATCTGATGACTTAACTCCTTTCCAATGTCCCAGTTCTCTAAAAAGTAGTCAAGAGGACCTTACTGTCAGTTGTTCAGGCTCTCAAACAGAGGTCACCTGCACTAGAAAAAAACCTAATCAAGATGTTGTTTTTGTCTTCAATGCCATTGCCTCAAATGACTTACAAAAAGACTCACAGATTGTCCTCAATCCATGTATTGAAAAATCTCTGAATCTTGTTCTTTCCCCATCCACCAAGACTGTAGGACATCCATGTTCTGTCATCACATACAGCAGTTCCAATTCACAAAATATGAGTCAAGATGGGACTATCACAAAGAATATATATAAATTCAAATCAGAGGTCTCTGGCCATGAAGAGAACCCCAGAACCATACAGCATTTGCAGTCAACCAGAAAAACAACCATAAAATCAAGAAGGCCGCAAACAAAAAAGAAAGATACCATAACTTTATTGGAGTCTGTCGATGGTAGATCCTCCCTTTTGCCCTCTGCTAAGAGTGCAATCAAAGCTGGATTTCACACAGGTCTCACATTGTCCTCAGACCCTAAAATTGAGGAAACGTGTGTTTCTGAGTTGCCTTCTGGGCTGGCTGTCTTGAAGGAGCTTCTCCAGATGAGGCAACTGAAGGCAGGACAGGAACCACTTGAAAGTAATCATGTGACTGAGGATATGTCTTCTGCCAGTCAACATATTGATATTCCCAAAACAGCCAAATCTAAAACAGCTCATTCATCAACATCAAGAAAACCAAGGGGTTCAAGAACTAAAGTGCCAAAAGAGTTACAGTTCAAAATCAGAAGTAATAAAATAAAACAGGATGATTTGAGAATTGACCATCTTTCATCAGATGACAGTCCTGTGTTTTTCTCTAATCCTGGCTTTGATAGCTGTTGCTCTATTGAGGATAGCTTGTCCCCAGAGCTCCCAGACAATTACAGCTTTGATATCAATGCCATTGGGCAAACAGAGTTCTCCAGTCTTTATTCTGGTAACCAGTTTGTGTTAACTGATAGAAACTTGCCTCAGAAGTTCCTCAGTGATGTCAGTCAGGAGGCAATAAATGCCCTTGTTGGGTTAGGGGACAGGACACAAAAAGTGTTTGATGTTGATGAGAACAGCAAGCATGAACAGGACTGGCATAAGTCTGGGACTCTTAGTCCAGAACTCTTTGATAAGTCATTTTGTGAAAGTGGCAGAGTTTATCCCAATAAGGTATCTCTTGATTCAGAAAAGATCTTTAGCAAAGATTGGGGGGGCTCTTTAGGTAAAATCCATGGCCTCAGCCACTTTCAGGACTTTCACTGTGAAAAGAGAGATGTGTTGCTTGACCCAGAGCCCTTTTCCCCCATTACTTCTGCTTCTTTTGCATATAATGGTGTTTCCCCAAATAGTGATCCCCTAGATGGCAGTTCAGCAACACCAAGCAGTTCCCCACAGTCCATCAACTCGCTGTCCCAGCTGAAAAATGGAGGTCAGAGTTCAAAGAGTGGAGGAACTCACATTCTCAAACCTCTCATGTCTCCACCTACTCGGGAAGAAATCATAGCTACTCTGATGGAACTGGACCTCTCAGAAGCCACCTACCAGGAACCATTCTGCAGTGACCCATCAGATGCACCCTTGAAGCCAAGGTAACATTTATGATGAAAGCCCCGCATGGGTTTTGTGTTTTTATGTTCTTTTAAGTTGGACTATGAAATCAAAAGAAGTGATCCATAACCTTTTCACTTTTGTTGTTGTTGTTTTTTTTTTTTCCAGGGAGGTTTGTGGTCGGAAGTTGATTTTGGAAACCAGGCTGGCGAATGAACTAGTTGAATTTCATGGAGACTCATCTCAAAACGGTTTACAGTTTTGGAAAGTTGCATTTTCTGCAATGACAAATCAAGACTCTGCACCAAACCATGGGTGTAAATCCTCTATAATGACCAAGGACCAAAACCCATTTTATGGCAGTGATCAAAAAGTGATCATGCTTCCCTGCAAGTGTGCCCCAAGTCCAGAACAGGTGCAGCTCTGGCTGCAGGCCAAAAAACTATTTGAGTGCCTTCAGAGTAATAGGAAACAAATGGGTGGTCAGACAATTGCGGAACTGAGTACATATGACAGGACCTCACCTCAAAATGAGGACCTTAATTTACCTTCCTCAGAGAATCATGATAAAAGGTTTCAGAGTTGGGAGAAAAAAGATGAAAAGGCTTCAGAGTTGCCAAGTATCAGTAGGAATGGCTTAAGATTACCACTCCATATTTCACCAGTTAAGCCAGTTTCATCTAACTGTAGCCCTAACAGTGTGAAATGTATCTTGGACATGGAGACAAACAAAGATTGTCAGATCACTTCTCCAAATTCTCCTGATCTTTCTACATTGCAACAAAGGCCAGCTGAGATTAAACAAGATGAGGACAAGGAGGGTTTGACTGATATATTACAATCCCCCAACATGGACCAGTCTCAAAATCTCAGTGACACATCACTTGAAAATGTACAGCCAAAGGATCTCTTGAGTCCATCAGTTTTTCCATTTAAACATCTAGTTTCTGATGTCAAATGCTCTTACCTGCTCCATAGCACACCTGTCCATCGGAGAAGCTACATTGATGACGATGGGTCTAGCTACAGTCCAATAAGAAATGAAGGTATAGTTTTATGTTTTTTCCTTGGAGTTTAAATCTTTTAACTAGAAGTTGTTCAGCTCTGTTATCAATAATGGGTTCACAAACATTTTCAGAGTGGAACCCACCTAGAGAGGAAAATCCTTTTGTATTGAGATCATTATAAAATTTGTCAATAACGATGATAAACTGTGCACATTTGTACTTAATTTGGATTAATCCAACAGCCTATAACAGCAGAAATAAACATGACAACAACCATTCAGTGCATGTCGCTAATAGTTCTGCATGTTCTGCTTTTCTTTGTGTGAATGAATGGCATAGTTTTGTCTCCTACCAAGGACATGAACATATGAATTTCATCTCCAGAGCTACTCTGACAGTCACTTTTCACAGTTTCATTGAGAAAAACTACCATCAAATACACATTGGCTACGTTTACATGCAACCAAATAATCCATTTATAATCGGATTGACGGCTCAATCGGACTGAAAAACCTTCATGTAAACACCTTAATCGATACGATTGAGCTCGATCGGAATTAAATTTCGATCGGATTGAAGTGGGTGGTTTATTCCTTTTCTAATACGATCGAGAGTGCATGTAAACACTCGATTGGATTGAACCCCGAAAGTGAACGAACTGCGCATGTGCAATGACGTAGAAATCGAGTAATGACGTATGACACACAGAACGAGCGGTTCTTCCTTTTGAATAAAGTGTTGTATAAATGCATGTCATTGCCTGTCATTATAAAACTCTCCTTTCACTCGGCAACTGTGAAGTGGAGCAGGACAACCTCCCACCAGTCCTTGTTTTGGATTCTCATCCACAGGCAACCCGTTTTGGGCGCGGGGAGGGGCATTTTTACTGTGTGATAAATATGAGCAGCACGGCACAGCGGTTTATATGTATATCCATAAATTAATAAATATTAATTCTGCTGTTAAAAACAAATAAATAAACCATGTAGGAGAGTGGTTATTATGTGCAAACAGTGAGAAACTCTATATTTGTGCAGTGTGCGTATGTCAAAAAAAAAATGTCAGATTAGAAGCTTGTGACATATAAACGCGCACATCAACCCGATCACTTTCTTTAGCGTTCATGTAAACACTACATTCAGATTCATCAATCGGAATGATTTCAGTCTGATTGAACCAAAAATTGTGGATGTAAACGTAGCCATTGAAACTCAACGATCTTCATGGCACACCGCCAAAATAAAAATTTGGTTTAACTCGAAGAAATTGACATAAATATTACTAAAATGTACTTCTCAAAGTAATATTATTATTTTTAAGGAATATACAACCAATACATTTTTGTTCATAGTTTATATAGTTTTGTTGTGTAGCATCTTATTTGACAAAAAATAAAAATGCAGTGTTTTGTTGTAAATTGTTATATTTTCAGTCATGCTTATTTGTCTAACGCAGTCATGCTTATTTTACTTTATTTATTTTCTAAAAAGATGATTACTAAGCATTTCTGTTTAGCTACTCATTGCAAAACTCTTTTGAATTTGTGTTTGTACAAACCTAGAGCCCAGATCACAGCGGCTACATCAAAAGGGTAACAAAAACAAAGATGCTTTACGCAGAGTTTTGCTCACCACACAAATGAAGGTCAGAGCAAAGTTAACGAATTTTCTCCCGAAGTTTCAGTCTTATAATCCTTGTTTAGTATTATATAGGGTTTTTATAGCACATTCGTTATATCCCATACAGAATCAGCTTACCACTATGAATGTTATGAAGAGAGAAAACTCCCAGATTGAGGGACCATCAATCTGTAATTCATATGGCTTTAAAGTCAGTATGCAGAACTTGCAGGAGGCCAAAGCATTGCATGAGGTAGGATCTGGATTGCGTGTGTTTTAGTATGAACTGCTTTCATTAAACTGAGTAATTGATCAAACTTACATAAATACTTAAAATTAATTTTTAACAGCAGGAAAAAAAGCTTTGTTGTCTTCGTGTCATCTCACGTGGTTATAAACTCTAGTTGAAATACCATGAAAATAAACATTTCTCATCATCTCACATTTTAATCCCCCTTGCTATAGGTACAGCACCTCACACTGATGAGCATGGAGCTTCATCCAAGGACTCGTCGTGACCTTGAGCCTGACCCTGAATTTGACCCAATTTGTGCTTTGTTCTACTGCCTCAATTCTGATGTCCCTCTCCCAAATTCTGACACTACCCAGATGACAGGTGCCATTGTCATTGATAAAGATTGTTGTTCTTCAGCTCAAGGTGAGATTGGTGTTGCATTTGTTTATTACTGATGTGTGTACCAATTGTAACTTAGAAAAGCGCCAAACTATAAATCAACTTCATGTTAATATGGCTGGTTAATGTTGAAGGGATAGTTCAGCCAAACATGACAAATTTGCCATCTACTCATCTTGAGGCATCTTAGAGCATTTTTGGGTGAAATATCCCTTTAATTTGACAGATGACTCATGACAGCTGTCCAACAACCATTTAGCCAATTAGTGAGGAATTTTCTTTGATCTTTTGACATAAGAAGTTGTAGTATTTTCAGACTGTATACTTAAGATTATTTCCTGTATGTGGAGTGGTTCTGAGTCCATATATCCTTAAGAAACGTCTTTAATGAGACTGGACTAAACATTGACTTGTCACAATCGGTTATTTTGAAAATGATAAAAGTTTAGTTTTGCACATCTGAAGTGACAATACATTTGTCAGTTGCTTTACTTTTTTTGTATTTGTATGTATGGGAATTTTGTGTATTCCCACACTGAAATCTTATTCCAAAATCCAGTTTTGCTTTGCACTAAATATCAAATGCTGTGTTTCACTTTCAGTGAGGGCAGACCAGTGCTGGGTAGATTACTTACAAATTGCAGTCCGTTATTGTTATTAACATGAAGTGCATTAAACATTATATATGGCAAGGTATCCCAAACTGGGGTTCATGATTTTATTGAAAAGCTCATAATGAATGAATTAATTAAAATTAAATAAAAATGTAAAATTACAATAAATCATTTCAACAATCAAAATATAACAAACTAAATATATATAAATTATTATTATTATTATTTTTTGCCTGCATGTCATGTGACCAGTAACCAACGTCAGAAAACCATGAGCATGCTAATATGTTATTAACTTATTACCTTAAAATCTCAGGGGGTTGTTCAAGTAAATATATTAGTTGAAAGAGGCTCAGCTTACAAGAAAAAAAAGGACCAGATTCTAAAATCATATTGAGATATATTTAATGCTTCTTGAGTTACAGGTATGCAAATTTTGGAAAGTAATATTTATGCCACTCAGACATGTATGTTCTATGCAGTTGTTTTGATAGAGGGAAACAAGAACTTTGTTCTTCAGTCTAGGGCTGGGCGATATGGCC